ACTATTTAATTTTTAAAAACATAACTACAAATTACTACCCCTTCTTAGACTCTGTGGGTAACAGGAGCTGAAAGCTCCATAGTCCTCATATCCGAGGGTATCAGGCGTTTTCACAGGGAAGGAGGAAGCTGGCAGAATTTACCACATTTCCAATAGCCTGGTTTACACAAAACTCCCTGCAGGGGGCAGCCTGGATGTGCGGCTGAGAGTTCGGTGTTCCTCAATATTTCCATAAGCATCTGACAATGTCTCAGAGGAAATGCACATTGATTACAATAACTTGCACTTTTACACTAAGCACTTTACAGATTTCACTTAATCCTCTGGGTACTACTTTGATCATCATTTTACAGATGAGGAAATTGAGCCCTTGATACATAATTCATTCAAGGTTTCACAGCTGTATGTCACAGAAGTCTAGAGCCCTCGGCACCACTCCCCAATTCTGCCTCTAAGATCTTTTGTGATTCCAGGCAAGCTTTCTTCCCCTCTTTTGGCTTCAGTCCTCATCGGACAAAGAAAGGGACCAGCCTGGCTAAAGTCTTGGGCTCCTCTCAGCTCTAAAGTTCTTCTAGTTCCAAGGTTAAGAAATTCACTTTGCACTCTGCACCCTGGCATCAGCCTGCATACTAGAGATGAAGAGGGGGCAGGCAGTGCACCCTTTCAAAAGAGAGTTAGTCCCTGCAGCAGCTTTAAAAGATGGGTATCACCTTGGCCCCCAGGTAGAGGCACCCAGCTGGACACTCTCTAGAGGTCTTCATGGGCCCACAGTTTTTCTCAGGGTTCCTGTATGCCAGTTTTAAGCCCACAGGGGTATTTTAGTTGGCCCCTGCAATGTTTTAAAACAGTTGGACTTAGTTACCAACATTTTAAAATCAAAAGCTGAAATCTGGATTCCTGGGTTTTCCTAAAAAGTCTGAAGATCTGGTCATTCCAGGCCCATGTTCCCCTGGTCACACTGCAGTGAGTTGCTGGCTCCTGGCATTCAGATGGAACAAGAGTGCTCTAACTTTCCAGGTGGTCAGCTCACACACACAGCTCCCCTGACTGGTCCTAAGGGTACTTCAGCCTGTGAGCCTCACTTAACGAGCCAAGGGTGCTCTTTTCCTGAAGGATCCAAGAGGTAGGGATGTGCAGCACTGGGGCACAAGAAAAAACGCTCCTTTTCCTGCAAACACAACAGTGCTCTGGGCTCTGTGACAGCTGACACCGAACCTGTGGCCTGGGTGCAGGTAGGAGCCTGGTGCCTTGGAACAAAAACCAGGAAGTGCAACAAAAGGAGTGGTTTTCATCCAGCCATGAAACTCTCCTTCCCCAGTAGCTACCACTCAGATCTCTATCTGCTTTCTGGGGCCCAGGGTGGACCAACAGCCATGTGTCATTTCCCTGGATAGGGGCTATAATGGTGACATTGTGCTGAGTGGAACAAGAGAGGTTTTCATCCAGCGACCAGCACTGGGCAGACACTCAAGCAAGGGGCTGTGGGGCTCACCCTGCACAAAGGAGATGGGAGTGGGGCCCTGAGCCAGTGAGAAGCCCCATGGATTGGGCTGCATGTCCACAGTGGCAGGCAGTGGGAAGGGAAGCAGAGAGGCATTGCTCCCAGAACATGTCACTGCTGTCTCATTTTCCTCTACGAATAAATAAGCAAATAAACAATCTCAGAAGATAAAGGGGATCACCCAAGACACCTGCATTAATAGAAACCTCGTGAGTCCTAGAACATTTATTCACTGACTCACCCAACAATACTTGCTGCCACTTACTAGGTTCCAGACACTGTGCTAAGGCTGTAGGGATCTAGCAACAAGTAAGACATAACACCCACTCGCATAGTGCTTGCAGTCTAGGGGGCCAAGAAGAGGTAAAGGGAGAAGGAGGAATTTAAACACTGATGACCCAGTGGAAGAACTGACAGTAACATAGTAACGGAGTCAGTTCAAGAACCCAGATCTGAACCCCAATTGGTGGTTTTTCTTACTTTTCCCAGGGTCTCCTGAGACCACTACTCTGTGGAATGGCGGGCTGGAGCTTAGACAGGAACGTACCCCAGATACTACAATACGTAATCTGAACTCTGCACTGACAGCAAAGGAGAGCCATCAAATACTTTTAAGGGGGATCTGACTAGAACCATGGAATGGTCACTGTGGTATCCATGATGGAAGCAGACCTAGAGGCAAAGTGACAGATTAAAAGGCTAAAGTATGTTTCTCTCACCGGGACAAAGAACATTTAGCCTCTAAATTTTTCTTTCCTTGGGCTTCCCAGTTCCACCTGATAAGCTAAGAATGAGAATGGGGAGTATCAGTTGTTTTCACAAGACTAGGAGCATGTGGGAGCTGAAAGCTTTCTTCCTGGAATTGTTCAGTGGGACCAAATTTGCTATCTTTTTACAGAGCTAGAACTCTTCACACAGACTTCTTTAGACAAGCACCAGGCAAACCTGGAAAACTTACGACAGCAATAAGAAAAGGGAAGATATGAGGCAGATCCTAAAAATCCTTTCCAGAGAATTGCATTCACACAGGGAAGGGGAAAGGGGAGGAGAAAACCAGGCAAAGGCACCCACAACCTCCATCCCCATCCCAGCACCGCCCACCCGATACCCTATGATCTGGCCAAGCCAAACTGCTTTGCAGACACATCCTGCAGTTTTCTATCTCTATGTCTTTGCTCTCACTGTTTTCTCTGCCTGTAATGTTATCTCCTCATTGCAGGCTCACCCAAGTGTCAGTCATCCACTATTGTCTCCATGATCAGTAAGAAATTCCTGCTTCATCTTACTGAATTCCAAGAGCATTTTATATTTCCTCTGGTACTTTTCACATAATAATTTTAATTAAATTATTTTATGCATATTTACCTCCTCTACTAGACTGGAAACTCATAAAGGATGAAGATCCTTTCTACTTAGCATTAGTTCTCCCAATAGAAATTGGCACAGAATGCAACAAATATTTCTAAGTAGACTAATTAAAAGTAGGGGTAGTTTTTAATGGTGTTTATGGACACGACTGAAGCGACTTAGCAGCAACATGGGCCTATGTAAAAGAAAGGTAAAAATGAAAGGAAAAAATATGTAGTTATTCCTTGTTCCAAAGCCACAAACAGCCTTCTCATCCACTTCCTTCAGTTCCCCAACAGCAACCAAGCTGTAGTCAATTTAGTCAACAGTGCCACCTAGTGGGCACTGTGGGTGATTATTAAACGAGAACCACTACATCTTCACAGCTGCTTCTTTACTGTTAATCCTCAGGAAAACGGCACAGACTGTTTTCCCATTTTTACATCTTTCCTAGCCCACATTTCCCATTTTACATCTTTCCTAGATCAGTTAATCTCATTCCATATACCATTTCATAGGTGCATATAAATTCCCTTTAGCTTTTATTTTTCGGTTCCAATTCTCTGATAAACTTCCAGAGTCTGAAGGTTTCTTAAAGCTTCTAAAAGTTCTAAGCCCTCCATCTGTTCCTGCAATAGCTGCATTTTCCACATTTTTAAAATTTACTTCAAATGAAATATTATGTTTTTTAAAGTAGTAAATGAGCTAGACTGGGAACTTAACTACAATTTATAGCCTTGTTTTCAAGTGTTTCAGAATTAAAACAGTGAACTTTTATAAGTTAATTCACTTATAAATTGTTGGTTGTCTGCTTTAGAATTTAAACTGACCTTTTCAAACTGGAAAAGTGGGCAGGAACAAAGAGGAACTTGGAAAATAATAACGGCTCACATTTTTATAGCTATTTATGGTTTACAAAGTAGGTTTGTACCATCATGTCATTTGCCCTCCCAAAAACCTTGCGAGGTCAGTATGAGTTTTCCCATAGCACAGATGAGCAAGCAAGACTCACAGGCTTAAAGTTATACACTTCCTAAGTAGAAGAGCAAGAGCTCAAACACAAGTTTTCAGGCTTCAACTCCATTGTTTTTTCACTACACCATATTTCCTCTGGGCTCATACACAGATATATTAAACAAACTACTGATGCAATTTGGTGAAGCAAGGGCTAACTAATTTCAACTTGCCTATCAAAGCAATGGAGGAAACATTCTCAGTCCAGGAAAATGCAGAATGCTCTTTCCCAAGTCCTTCCTTGAGCCTTTGCACAAGATGGTCCCAATGCTAGAATGTTCTATGTAAAGGAGTGGCCTAGCCAAAACTTCAAACTGTGATCTGACCTATCTTGGGGAGAAGTGTTTAGAAGAAGAATTAAACCTCGACTTCACTTTATAAAGGGTCTTAGACATTTCATATGTCTATAATCGGTTTGGGCCTACTTTCACAGAGACAAACTAACAGGATGAAAAATGCTGATATTCTTCATACAACTTTAAACTTAAATCCCATTCTTGACCACACTGGTCATAGCAATATTTTTCTACATCCCGTTAATTATTTAAGGAAGAGCACACTTAACATTGCATTGCACTTGTATGCTAAAAAAGTGTTCATTTCCACAATTTTTATCACTCCGTGTTGGCATTCTTCACGATTCAGTACACTGGGAACCTCAAAAGTTTTATGTGTCCCAAGCCACTGCCCACATTCTAGCAATCCTTTCTCTCCTTTCCCTAGGTGATTTTTAAAAGATCTTTATTATTTCACTCCTCTTTTACACCATTATTGGCATAGCGTCTGGTCCACTGTCTGGCTCTAGAAGGTGCTCAGGAAAGACATGTTTAATGAAGAAGATAAACCCAAAGACAGGGTGGCAGCAGCAGGCAGAGATTTTTTTACTCTAATGTTGAAAAACAGATTCTAACAGTTTGGACAATCTGAAAATGGACACGGCTGGAACTGCGATAGAAAGCTTCTCGTCACTAGCGGAATGCAAGCAGAGCTCAACAGTGCCTTGGTCTGGGCAGGGGTGGGACGCGCGCAGGCACGGGCATGAAAGGAAGTGTGAACTGGCATGTGGGTCCTCTAGTAGCCCCTCCAGAGAGGGGCGCGAGGACTTGTGAAAGGCAGGGCGTGGCAAGGGTGTGTGGGGATGAGGGACACCCGCGGCCCAGGGGGCCAGGCGGGCTCCGGGTCTATTCCGGGAGCCGAGCGCAGGGGCGGGCGCGGGCGGGCGGGGGCGCCGGGCGAGCATCCTGTCGGGGGAGGGGATGCGCGGAGGGCGCTCCCGCGGGGCCGGGGCCGACTGGAGAGCGCCGCGCCCGACGCTGCCAGCCCCGCCGGAGGCACTGCGCCCTGCTCCGCTATCGCCGGCGCCATGGACCGAGGCCGGGGTAAGAAGAAACGCGGCGCCCACACTTGTTGCTTTGCAGGGTGGTAAGGGGAGAACCGCGCGATCTAAAAGCCAGAGAGGAGGGGGCAGAGACTAGCGGGTTGGGCCGGGCCGAGGAGCGTCGGGGCACAGAGAAAGGGAGAAGCGCGGGCCGAAGACCCGGCGCTGTGTGGACAGGTGCCTCCTGTGCCTGGGCTGCTAGGGGTCTGCTAGGGGGATTCATGTCCCGGACTTAAGTTGCCTCCAGTGTGTGAAACCAGAGTTTTCATACACTCGGAGCCTTAACTTCATGAACGAATCCCCCACAGGATTCCTGCGGAAGGCAAGCCCCTCTCACCCCATCCCAACCCCCTCCACCAAGGGTAGAATAGAATTAACAAGTCACACTCTTGAAAACAACAGGGCGTGTTAAGCCCCTACTGTTCACACACTGAGAAGCCCCAGGAGACAGAAGTGTGTGCAGCTACCCAGGGTGTCAGGAGGAGGAGCTGCAGGAGTGCCTGTGGGCGCCTGCATGGGTGTCCAAGCCCTGGCTCTGAGCCTGACAAGCTGTGTGACATTAGCCCACCCTCTTTCTCTCTGGGCTAGTGACAAGGTTGAACTGGATTGTCTCTGAGACCCCTTCTTATTGGGACAGTTTGAAGAGTTGAAGAGTATGTAAGAAAGTTTTACAGACGTGGTGGGGGTGCTTGTTGAAACTGCAACGAACAGGAGCATAGAGAGAGCATTTGGTGAGGGGGGGGGATTCATGGGGAGCTATGCTTAAATAAAGGCCTGGACACCTCAATGGGCTCTTAGTTGTAAAAAAAAAAAAAAAAGTAAAAAGTGGCTTGCTTGAACATGGGGGCAGTGACAAAGGCTGGGAACCAGGACACCAGTGTCACAACGCCCCACCTCTGGAAACCGAGGAGAGCACAGGTCTGAATGCACTTGGTAAACTGGCAAGTGCTGCCAACATGACAAGTAGTATTATTCTTGTTGTTGTTATTATTAATGGAAAATTCCTCCCCTTCCCTACATAATCTTACACGCTTCCCCCCTCTGCCTGTTTGCTGCACTGAGACCTCCAACGGGAAAAAAGGAGTGGCCAGGGGTGTGGAAGCAATGAGGAAGGGCACTGGGGGCAGGGATGGGGCCAAGAGCAGGTGTCATGGTAACCCCCCTGCACTCCTCTTACGGGTACAGTCAGAGATCAGAGGGCTGCAGGGGACCCCAGACTTCTAACTCAAGGTGCTGGGGACAGCTTCCCCACCCACACCATCTCTAGCACAAAGTGCTGCATCAACCCTTTCCTATGGGAGTTGGAAGGTCAGGCAGAAAATGGAGGGGGCTTCTGGTTTGGCTCTTTGGGAACCAATGCTGTGATCTGTAAAGCAGTTCTTACCTGTTAACTGACTCCTAGACAAGTATGCACAAGAGCATACACACTCGTCAGGGAGAAAAAAGAGAGCAGAGGTGCCTCTAATGTCCCTCAGTCAGTCCCCCATCCCCATCTCCCACACTGTACGTTTAAAGCAAACAGCACTGCCCTCCACCCCATCACACCCCACATGGTGCCAAATACCGACCTGTCCCCAGCACACAATCCCCAGTACAAAAATCCATACCTAGCCTACCCAGAGTTGTAGAAAGCAGACTATGCCCTCCTTTGACAGACCATGAGTGATGATAATTCACCCAACTTAAAATGCTTAATAACTGATACCTCACTAAAGAAGCCTGCTTCCAGACCACTCTTCCTGGGAAGCCAGACTTCCCCAGCAATCTGTTAGTACTCAGAATGCTCTAGGACTCTGACCCTCTCCCCTGCTGCAGACTTTCCTAGCCTACTTTCTTTTTCCTTCATAGCTCTCGTCACGATGCGGCAGTTATCCAACTACGTGTTTTGTGTCTACCTAGCCTATCAGAATGCAAGCTTCAGGAAGGCTGGGGGTGGATCTGGGCAGCCACCCCGCTGACAGCAGTGCCTGGCACACAGTAGGTGCTCACTAGCAGTGGCTCAAGTAGTTCATTAACAACATGAAACAAACTTAATAGTGCACCCCAAATTGAACAGTTGTGATGCTGATTTTGAAAGATACATACCACTAAGTCCTCCCATCAGAACAGTGCTTCGTGACCTGCAAAGGCCTTCTCAAATGCAAGTGAAGTGGATGAGGCACACAGGACCAGGTCATCTGTCTAGAAACTCAGTGGGCTACCCTGAGAAATTACTGCAAAAACTGTAGGAATTAAAGCAAACACAGCTGCATATGAACTAGAATACAAAATTTGTGTGGGTTTTTAAGATAAAACTGAGTCTTTACAAATCATTCTGGTGGAAATTTGTTGTGCCCATATCCCCAGGAGGGTGTGAGCACTCTCTTCTGTTGTCAGGCAGGTTTTAAGAAGCACAGGTCTCATTTCACCCTCATACCTACCATGTGAGGAGTGAGACTGTCATGCCCAGGGAAGGAAGCCACACTTCACATTGTACACTAGTAACAGTAACAACTGAAATCATCAACGTGTTTTCATGAGCCAGGCAACATGCTCAGCTTTGTTCATAGCTTCTCTTGTAACAAGCAGTGGGACAGGGCTATGACTGGGTAATCCCTACCTCACAGGAAGGCAGGTCTCGCAGTCTATTAGTCAGCTAGGGCTGCTGTAACAAAATACCACAGATTGGGTGGCTCAAACAACAGATTGATTTCCTTAAGGAAGGTAGAAGTCCAAGACCATGGTGCCATCTGGGTAGATTTCTGGCGAAGCCTCTCACCCAGGCCTGTATATGGTGGCCTTCCCACTCTGTCCTCACATGGCCTCTTCCCTGTGCACAGAGAGAAAGAGACAGAGATTGCTGATATCACTTCCTCTTCCTAGAAGGTCATCAGTCCTATTGGATTAGGGCCCACCTTTATGACCTCATTTAACCTGAATTACCTCCTTAAAGGCCCTATCTCCAAATGCAGTTACACCTGGGGTTAAAATTTCCATACTTTGGTGTATAGATCTGAGGTAGTTCAATCCGTAACAGCAGGATTAGGGCACTGACACTAGCTTGTACAGTCGTTCGTCATGTGAGAGACAGAGCTGGGTTTGAACCAAAGTCCTGATCTTAAACTGGCTGCTGGCTGACTCCACAGTGGCAGGTGACCTGCCCAAGCCCTAGAACAGAAGAGGGCTTGGACACTGCATCTTCCTGCCACAGGTCTGGGCACCTCCGTCACACCACAACCATACCGTTCAGATCTTCAGTAGCAATTACAGCATAAAAGCTCAGCATCAAAGTCAACTGACTTGAGAATGAAAACAAACCTAGGAAGTAGGATTTCTCTTCTAACAGGATATGTGTCTTCCCATGAGTAAAGAAGGATTCATATGATGCAGTAACACACACAGAAATGACTTACCTTACATTATAAGGAAATTCCTTCCAGCAGGACTTCCCCAATTCATGAACATCATACAAAGAGAATCAGCCACTGGTGAAAGTAACACCTTCACTATAGACTAATGACTATGGACACCACCTTCTACAGAACCAATCACTTAACTCTTTATCCTCACATAAAGATAAATATGGATACTGATGATACCTACTTCATGGGGTTGTTATTAAATGTATGGAAAATACTTCAGACAATGATTACCATATGAGTCCCATTCAATAAATACTGGCTACAGTAATAATTGTGTTTTTTAAATCACATTTAACATAATAAAATTCTATTGGCCCCAAGCTAGTCTGACTCTGAGGACACTTGAGTTCCTACTCTCTTTTAAGAACTGGGCTAGACAACTTCATATACAACTCAAAGACAGGGGCTATGTCATAATCTCTGTATCATGGAGCTCCTTCATGGTGCTTGTCTCTTGAAAATCCATCTCTGACATGCAATAACAGAACCATCTGACAAGTGTTTCTGAGTGACAAAATATTTATAGGCCAACATGTCTATTTTCTCTTATTTATGCTATTTATTCATGCCTACTGCTGGGAGGGATTGGGGGCAGGAGGAGAAGGGGACGACAGAGGATGAGATGGCTGGATGGCATCACCGACTCAATGGACATGGGTTTGCATAAACTCCGGGAGTTGGTGATGGACAGGGAGGCCTGGTGTGCTGCGATTCATGGGATCACAAAGAGTCAGACACAACTGAGCGACTGAACTGAACTGACTACAGCTGTATCTTCACAATTTTGCTTTTGTGAACTTTCTAGTGTTCTCAAGCCGTCTTTGCTTATGTCTTTGGTCTAAATTTTCCCTCATTCCCTTCTTAATGCCCAAGGTTCTGATATGCCTAGCTCATACGAAGGAATCAATTTTACCAAAGTTCCTTTCCTTTCTACTTCACAACTAGTTCTTTTTCAACTGGCTGCATTCAACCCAAGATGGGAGTTTCTTTTGTTGAATTATACATATTCTCTGGGAGATTATATTGTCTCCTGGTCAATTGTAAGACATAATCTGAAGCTCTGCTTTTCATTAAATGAGATTTTTTCAATTAATTTATTTTAATTGGAGGCTATTACTTAACAGTATTACAGTGGTTTTTGCCATACACTGACATGAATCGGCCATGGGTGTACATGTGTTCCCCATCCTGAGCCCTCCTCCCACCTCCCTCCCCATCCCATCCCTCAGGGTCATCCCAGTGCACTGGCCCTGAGCGCCTGTCTCATTAAATGAGATTTTTATCATTCAAGAGATGCTAGAAGAACCCACTCGTGTCTTGCCTTTGGTGGACCAGCTTTGACATCTGTACTAGGAAAGTCATATCTTCCCTATCTGTGGCTTCCATTGGCCAAGCAGCTGCTCCCCTCCATGTCCCCTCTGTGACTCACTGCCCAATTTCTGTCCCCCAGGCTGTGAATTCCCATACCTCTTCCCTGACATCTGAGTTCATTTTCTACTCTTATCAATTACTGTTCTTCTGAAAGGAGTACACACCCATATGTTTTCTTCCAAATATGTTCCATAAAGTCATCTTTGTTAGCCTGGAGACTCAGTACGGC